AACAGACAGGGTCGTCCCAATATGCGTTTTTGCAATTTGCATATAGGCAAAAACGCATAATTATTTTCGGAAAAAGCAAGGCCAGTATAAATATGGATCGTGCCTAGGGTAGGGATTAGAAACAGAGTCATTTTTAACACGGCCAAAAAACGTCCCCGTTAAGAATGCCTAAGTATGCTTAAGAACAGTCCTTACGAATGCCTCTGTTGTGCTGTTTTTGAAGGCATAGAACGATCTCTGGACGTTAGGAATCAAGCACATATGTCTTATTTTCGAAAAAAAAAGGAACTTGAGCGAAGTTTACAGAGGAAAAGAGTGCTGCTTGGATTTTTATATGCTCGTCATGAAACTTAGTTCTGAGGAGAAATTATCAGTTCCGGATTTGGCATCTTTAACCTTGGTAGAATGAACCTGGTATTACGATTTTTGTTACTCGAACCCGGAACATAACGATTTGACGCGGATAGTTTAAAACAATCGAGCAGAAGGTAAGGCAGTAGATCAAGGCAGCTACTGAATCGGTATATAAAATTTTGGTGCGGGCCGTCGTTGCCACTGTGAAGAATTTAACTGTGCTGTGCAAGCAGAGCGTGATCAGTACGAGTAGTTGTATCCAGCACTCTGTCCGGTAATGAAAGCTTCGCTCGATGGCAAGAGAATGCAGCAAATAGGACAAAGTTTGGGCTGAAGAATACATTGTTCTCTACCGGTGGAACGGGAGGAAACTGAGTGATGACCTCGAAGATAACGCATCGTAGGAAGCTGAAGTCGGATTAATGGAAGCAAGTGAAAGATATTCCACAAGAGAACTGTTCCTGTGCTATCTTGCATTGGCAGTGCTAAAATAGATGGACGTCGGATCCTATTTCAAGGAGTCGAGGAAGTAGGGTATAGGAAGTTCTACATGATGCTTGACGGGGAAATGATTTCAGGAGCCAGAGAAGACAGGGAGCTGAAACTTTATAAGAATATTCTGCGCCTTTGTATGAGCTAAAAATTTCATATTCAGCTTGAATGCATGCATACGTCATCTATGCGGGAATGTCAAGATTTAGTTTCATAATAACTGGCAAAATGTCAACTGGAGAACTAGGCTGAATAAATTCCTTTGATTTCAGAGAACGTTTGCTGTCTGTGTGAGCCCGTGGACGTTAAATGAGCATTTTTTATGCTTAGGAACTCGTCAAATTATTTTTGGTAGAAAAACGATTTAGGAAGCAAAAATTTTCCGCCAGGAAATGCCGGTATGCGTGAGTCCAAGCCATCTTACTACAGCACGAAATCATGCAAAAGTGCATGATCGCAGGCGCAAGCCTGCTGCACGTCTTAACCGATTTTTTTTTTGTTTAGGTGCACTCTCACTATCGATCAGCAGCAGGCGATGAAGAGGATCCATACTG